AATAAATGGGAGCGGCAGTGGTGTATGTATTTTTGCAATGGTGTACGTACTGCTGTCCGTAAACGAGAAGGTGGCACAAAGAAACTTGTATGAAACTATCCCCCACCACTTGATATCCCATTTATCTACTATACACGAACTATACCTATGAGTATCCGTGTTCATAATGCATCTGCACTTATACATTTTATTATATTTGTACCGGTGTATTATTGTATATACGCCTGCTCGCGTATTTAATATTATACCTATACCCGTGTATTTAAATTACATTGTGATTCAGACTCGGATTCGCTTATTACACGTATACACGTGTATTTGAATTATCAGATGCTGGAACATCTGTTTCAATATATTAGGTTGTAATGTAAAGTCACTATGTATATAAGAAAACTGCACACTTCATACGTTCAATGATTTTATATTAGGATGTAGAAATAATATACATATTATTCTGGATGAAACGAATTATGAATGAGCACAACTTTTTAATGAGAGGGAAAGGTGCTGAATAATAAATATTTTCTATCATATTGTGTTCAATTATCATAAAGTGCATGATATACTGCACCGAATTCAATCTACTTCTGACTGTCTACACTACACTATTCTGTTCTACACTGACTGTTCAAAATACAATTTGCTACATTTTTCTTGCTATATTTATTTAAATTAAAATAATTTACCATTTCTCTTAACAATCAATTGTACTCGTTTGAATTTTATGAAATGTATTGTTATTGAAATTATAATGTAATAAATGATGCTTTGAAAAACAGTGTAGGGATTAATTTCATTTAATCTTCAAACGATGGATCTAAATTTTGGTATTTCGTATAAGGTAACTATAGAATTTTTATTCTATTTACAAATTCTCTCTATATTGTCATCTTTTGCTTTTACAAACTACGTTATTGTCACTCATCTTGATATTTATTATCAAAATGGACGTATAAAGGATCAAAACCGACCGAGAATAAGACGAACATTGCGTAATTCGAATTGTTCCGACTGATTTGGTAGCAAATTGAACAATGATTAACATCAGTATGATGAAGCATTTTATTATCGTTTCTGTCGATCTACTGCCTCTTGATTTCACCAATTATTATTGATTACTGACGAATAATGAGGAGAATGGAGCGAAACATTCGACCACAGAAGTTCATTTTCTCCTACATCGATTTCGTTTATCGGGATTCCAACAAATGAAACTACGCTGCAGTTCCTCGAAATATTTTTCATTTATTCCATGAACGTTTAATAGAAGCCTTGAATTGTTTTTAGTGAGCTCTCGCCTGATGAAAATCGTTAACTACCCTCTTAATCCTCTACGTATAGATCTGTGTAACTTAAAATCTACTCTTTAATCTCTCGATACTTTTAAATTTAATTGAAATGCAGTAAACCTTCGTCAAGTACAAGTATAATTTCTTTCTATACAGAGTGAGCCGGAATTCGTAATACAGAGAGTGATTCTATACATGAAAAAATAAAATACAAATTTGGTATAACATTTTTTTATCAGGGATTCCGTTTTCGAGAAAATCAACTTTGATAATAATTGTTGCGAACTGTGTACTTAAGTGCTTAAGTGAACGGAATGTTCGTAAACACTATCTCGGACGGAGGCAAGTGAGGTAGAAGAATAGACGTCAATTTAAATCCTTTACAAAGATGAACAAACTTTAAAGCCGATTTTCTCGAAAACCTGTCTCTTATACACATCTAAAGATGAACAAACTTTAAAGCCGATTTTCTCGAAAACCTGTCTCTTATACACATCTAAAGATGAACAAACTTTAAAGCCGATTTTCTCGAAAACCTGTCTCTTATACACATCTAAAGATGAACAAACTTTAAAGCCGATTTTCTCGAAAACCTGTCTCTTATACACATCTAAAGATGAACAAACTTTAAAGCCGATTTTCTCGAAAACCTGTCTCTTATACACATCTAAAGATGAACAAACTTTAAAGCCGATTTTCTCGAAAACCTGTCTCTTATACACATCTAAAGATGAACAAACTTTAAAGCCGATTTTCTCGAAAACCTGTCTCTTATACACATCTAAAGATGAACAAACTTTAAAGTCGATTTTCTCGAAAACAGAGCCCCGGATAAAAAAATATTATATCAAATTTATTTCTTATTTTTTCACGTAGAATCACACACTGCTCAGTTGTGCTGCGGATTCTGACCGATACTGTATATCCTCTTTGAAATTTCAATTTCCATTTACGATCTTTCAAATCATTTGCACTTCAAACCACTTTTAATTTCGATGGGTTTGATAGTTTCCATTCATACCAGCATAACAGAAAAGAGAAACGATTTTTTTCGATTCAACATTTTTGCGGAAGCAGTATGATAGTATAGAGAGATTTTAGTGTATCAGAGAAGCTGTAACATGACCTTATGGCAGATCGTTGAATTGGTCTTGACATGAATTACAATAATATGAAGTAAAGAATATGCAATGCCACTTAAAAAAATGAAGGTAACATCGTCTTTTTATTGAATAAACTAAAATTTTTTAAAATTCAATATTTTATCGTGCAGTCGATAGAAAACCGATGAACTTTTATTCGATACATCTTTTTTGTCAGATTAACAGAAGTGCTCGAGAAACTGTTTGCAAAAGTTAAGGGAACACTCTGTAAACCAGTATGAAAAGCAATGCAGTTAATTAATTACTTTCGCATCATTAAATTAATATTTCATTTATTCAAGCTGAAGAACTATTTGATACTTTGGTTGGTACATTGAGCAACGAACTGCTCTCACGACTTCCTGTAAACATGAAATGTAGCATATGCATCTTATACTAGACATCCATTCAATTATAGTTATTTACTAAATAATTTCCGCATTGGTAGATCCACTATTTTCATTTAACTCTAAATATTTAGACCTTTCACTTTATTATAATGTATACTTGGACTAAAAAATTTGTTCAATGATAGCCTTTATATGTCAACAACTTTACAGCAAAAAATGAAATACCGGTCATTTTGACCGGCTGGGTAGGTTCAGTGCTAAATTGCAGAATATGCAATTACGACTGCAACGGACAGAGTAATCTTTTTGTTTTATATGCAGATAACTATGTAGTTCTGTGATAAATCATCACTGCAATTATTCTGTCGCATGTAGAACCCGATTCTACACAGATACACTGAATTCGATTGGCACAGGGAACAGAGAGTCACAGTTCTTTTTATTTTATCACCGACTTCCTGCGAATTTCACAGCCTACTGCGCGCGCCGGAGATAGTATTTACCTACTTTTCGATCTTTAACTTCGTTTACTTTTACCTCGAATCGCCGGGAAACATTCACTTTCGATATTCGAGATACGAGGGAAGGGATAATGATCGTGACTGTCAAATTCCAGGAACCCCCACCGGAACAGCACAGCGACGCAGGTCGCGGAGATGACTATGAAAATGTTCATTCATGAGTTTTGGGGTTCGCTTGGAAGCAATCTCTCTTTTCTTTTTAACATTCATTCACGAATCCATTATCCTTTATAAAGACCGTCGACGTTTGGTTCTTTATCGATTCGTGGAATATATGTATGTAGTGTATTGTTGGAATAACGTGTTTGACCCATTAAGTTTCAACCAATAATAATGCGATTTTCCCATGTACAATTGTTTATAGAAGTTTTCAGAGAAGCGTACATCTAAACGATATCAAAATATTTATTGGGCTAGTATCTTTTTGTAAATATTATATGATCGTTTTAAAATCTTTTTTAATATTATAGGAAGGAACTTAAATGAAATTACTGTATTCATTAGTTAATGAAAATTTAAAATATTAGACACCATGAAAACTCACTACGCAAGAAAGACGTATAAAAATGAATTATGTAAATGATTTAAGACAATTGGTATATCACGTATATGTTTATGAACTCTCAACTATTAACTATGTCATCATACATGCAATGAGACTGTTAAAATATATTGAACAATGTTAATGAAGTTCGACGATACCATAATATATGTAATTGAATTAATATTAAAAAAATCTTGTATATGCAAGAAATTTGCATTGTATGCAAAATACAAGTATATATTTACTCAATTTATTTCTTCAAAAATATTCAATACATGCCTCATAATGCTTCCTAAACTGTAGCATTGTACTGACACCGTAGCGAACTTCGAATTCTGTCGATTTTTATCACCCATGACAAAACGTCGTGTTCTACAGGGTCGCAGGAATTTAATGGGTTAAGTGATCGTTTAGTGTCACGGGTTTGATAACGACTACTGTCACGGAAAGTGTGACCTAAAAGGAATATCACAGATAGACTTTTAGAAAAATGTCTAACAAGTACTTTTTCTATTTACAGTGATTCATAGTTACGGGGTAAAAACAACACTCAGCTTTTTTATAATTACCAACATTCGTGGATCGTGGATCAGTCAGACGAACGATCAAATTATGTAAAACTTATAAAAATTATATCGAAATTGTCACTCAGTATAAATTTTGATTTCTTTAGAAAATGCAATTATATTATTGATGTTTTTCGGTGCGATCATTATTTCATTCGTTTCATTGATTTCGTTTAAATGGTATCAAGTCAAATAGGATGATTTATATTAAGATTTTCGTTATGCATATAGTTTAAATACAGTTTCTTTAAAACAGAAAAGTAAGAACATGTCGCGCATTAAATAATCGCTTATTCCTGTTTGTTCAGATTGTCAATGTCTGCTTTATATGTATGTAGTTTTCTGTCGTGGTTAACGGTGGTTTTATAGAAAATAGATTTATTAACCTTTGAGTCCACTTGTTTTTAAATCTTCTATTGATCTCCCTCCTAGTCTCGAAATAGAATTGTAGCAAATGAGTATCGTGTAATGTCTCCGTTCTGGCTGCTTTATCATTATCTTTGATTCCCACACCTTTGATATATGTTTATAGTCGTTATTGTGTTGGAACTCCCAATTTTCTGTTATTCTTTTCTTTGCGTATTGCAGTATTTTTGCCACGACATTTTCCAACAACAAATTTGATTAAAATTCCTGATATGCTGTTTGAGATTCGACATGTGTTATTGTCCTTATCGGCACGCTACAGGACGGAAATTTGGCACTAAGGGTACTTGACAAACTGTAAGGATAGATTCAACTATTTAATATTAACCATCTAGAAGCTGTGAATGTCTCGAATAATATCTGTAGTTACTGTCAGTCGTTGCTGCGCCAGCTCTATGCAAACATTCGATATCGGATAATCCATCAAAGCGTATATGTTCGATTGCTTGCAGACGGACTGCAGCCATGGGAGCCAAGAAGTTCTTCATCTTCAACGAAGAACTACTCTGAACATTGCCGCGATGTGAGCATTGGTGCCGCTCTGGAAAGTTAGATAGAAGTGCTCCAAGCATCAGTTGGCGGAGTAACTCTGCCAGGATCCTGCGGAGTCGTCGAATCTCACCGGAGAACGATCACAGATTGCAACGGCGAACAAGAACTACGAGAATGTCTAAATGAAGTCTAGAGGTCCTAGCGAGATCAAGGAGGAATCATCCGCGGTGCATCAGCTACAGGGCTCCACTATGCTGGAGTAGCTGCTCAAGATCCTTGCGAAAATTGTGAAATTGACAAGGCTCTGCTCGCGAGAAGTAGACTGGAAGAAGAAGAAGAAGAAGAAGAAGATTGGACACCGTGTAGAAGCACGCAAACCGTTTTCTTGAGGTCAGGTCGGCAACCAAGTGGCTCGAGGCCTGTAATAAGGGGGCGGGATAATTTAAAAAGATTTGACGATAGCTTCGTCAATAGGAACAGTGTCGATGCGACAGGGAGATGAGGATGAGGTGGTCGCTGCTGATCGTCGTATTCCTCTGCGTCGCGGCGCGGTTGGCGCGCTGCCAGGACACGGCCTGGCTCAGGATACCGGAGAATTACTGGGAGAACGACCACATGAGCAAATACGATCTTGCTCGTGCGGACCAAAAGGACTACTGGGGGGACCACTGGAACAGAGACTCGATTGGATCAGGCGATCCCCAGTTTTACAATCGAGTCGTTAACTACAGGAGCAACAGGGCCATCGATGTCTCTAGGTACTTTGTTATTTCTTATGTCATCGATGCGGAAGAGATGGAGACTCTGATTTTGGGGCTGGATTTTATACGGCGATGTGCTTTAAATAGGACTCGACGATCTGAAAAACGCGTGATCTTTTGATATTTTTTGGGGAAAAATTCATGAATTTGAACGAGTGCTTTGTATAACACTAAACTTGCCACGGTCAAATCATCGATTTCTCATTTTACAATTATAAACATTACAAAGACGCTTTTATGCGGAATAATTATTAAATAAATTATTGCAGCAATTACTATAATAAAAACTGCAGAAAATCTAAAGAAATTGGTTCTTGTCATTTTTATGAGACAATGAGTACTCTTAAACGATAGTTTAGCTAAAAAGCTTCAGAGTTCTGACTTTATACAATTGCACAAAGATCAATGCTAATCTCAGAGTTCTCTGTTCTGTCGCTTATTTATATCTGCCACGATCGCATAAAATCTGGTCGGAAGAAAACATTGAGGGAAGAGATTCCGAACAGTTTCTCTGTTGGCACAGCTAAAACAATTTCCCAACACAATTGTAGCTGTAAATATGTTGAACTTTTACAAACAAATCGAAAATGTAGATTACTCGTGAAAAGCCTACATTTTCGATTTATTTGCTTTGATGTAATCGTACTGCAATAGTATTCTCCTTCTTCAGATCATGATTACATCATCCAAAGAATTCCGCAAAAGTTTATTCAGATAATTTTAGATTAAAAGAAATTTTAATTACGCATAGCTTAAATAAGATGACGAAAATCGGTAAACAGACAAAAAGTGACGAAAGACTCTAGGTCATCGTTACTGGACTGGCAAGGTATGGATGATCCCCAGTCTGAAAATACAACAAATTTCTGAAAGATTGGGAATATGTAGAGCATATACATATATGTAGATATGTACTACACTATTATTTTTCTTTGTGTAAATTTACTTTAAGGGACAGAGATTAACCATCAAATATTCGACTATTTTTAATTTTTTACTATAATTTGCAAACTGTGCAAGTAGAAAACAAGTTTTTAAGTAAAAGTTACTTTTTTTTTGTCCAAATCTATCATATGGTGTACGATGAATATCGATTATTTGTTTATAATTTTTCCCAATGGTGTAAAGAATTAACAAATGTTAAATTAACAAATAACTTAAAGTGAATCTACGCAAGAAAAAAAATTTCGTAATACATATCTATACGCATGTGCTCTATATATCCCCAGTTTGAGAATTTGTTGAATGTAATCATCCCTTGTAAGTATGTGAAGGTTGTGACAAGAAGGAATAGTATACGTTGGACCTTCTGCGCAATCAGAAATGTTTACTCAGTAGATTTTCTCGATCCCACGAGTGTGACCACAGCCAATTGTTCCAATTCCAGTCATCTAAATGAAACCTTTGTTCGCCATTGACACAGATCGTCAGAAGTGAACACGAAAATGAATCAGCAGCCGAGTCAATCGACGAACCTTCCGAAACCGAGCACGAAATTCACGATAAGGCCGAGGAGATTGAAAAACGTGACGATCGCAGACGGTGTTTGTCAGAGCATCGACATCCGGAACAACGTGCAGTATTTTCCGGTAATGAAGGGCTGCCGCGTGATAGAGGGCTACCTGCAGGTGGTTTTGATCGAGAACAGCTCTGAGGCAGAGTTCCAGGATATTCAATTTCCTGAATTAAGAGAAGTCACTGGTTACGTCCTCTTGTATCGCGTGAACGGCTTGAAGAGTCTCGCCAATCTGTTTCCGAACCTCGAGGTGATACGCGGCAATATTCTGCTGACCGACTACGCCTTCATGGTCTACGAAATGCAAAATCTCCAAGAGGTGAGTCTTGCAGAATGCTTAATATTTTCATTATATATTTATTAAATCTATATTTTTATATTAAATGCGTGCAAAAGTTTCATTCTTTTCTCGGATTTTTCTGTGTACAGAGTGAACCAGTAAAAAGCACTATCTAAAATAACTCTGTATCCACTGGTTGTATCAAAAAACTTTTCAATTTAACGACACCTAGAAATGGTTAATAAGGGTTACTTTATAACGGTGAAAAGACTGTAATTGGATTACAAAATTTGTTCTATAAAAGTCTGTATAATTTCAGCAACGTCAAGGAAAACGATGCATCAGCGGAGTACAATTTGATCCTTTTAGTTCTTATTTTGTAAGACATCAATATGTCCTTCAGTTTTTTCAAAGACAATGCACCCCGACTTTTAACACTTTGCGTGAATGGCATTATTGCGACTTTTGCATTAATGGTTACTTATTTCATTGGTTCACGTTATATTGGTGAATAATGCCACAAGTATGTGATACATAAGAACAATTTTAGTATGTCCCAACTGTTCTAGTTATATTACAAAGTTACGTGTAGGAGTATGCTAGAATGATATAAACGGTTAATACCATGTTGTTGGTGGTAGAAAGACGAATTCAGCTATCTACTATCTACTACTACTATCTACTATCTATATAATTATTTGATAGTTTGTAACATTTCATGAATAGGATAGGATGAGGCTAGTAAAAATCTGGATATGTATTTTCTTACTTTGTATAAACTATTTTGTATAACTATTATACTTTAATTTAGTTAACGCTATTGTTTCTTATGATTTGCAAAAAGTTAGTGTGTACCGTAAACGAAGTATATCTTTAGCTTAGTGCAAATATAATTCTGGGTCTCATCGCTTTAAAATTTACTCATGCCATCGCAAAGCGATGAATTGATCTGTGCAAATGGTTTTGTTTTCAATGCTTGATGATGTTCATTTGATACTATTGAATGGACTTGATTAAATGGACTTATTTTTTTGTTGGAACTATTATTTAAATACATGTTTCTTATTAGCTTTATTGTTTAAATACATAGCTACGCTTCTCATCTATATAAAAAAATGATTTTTTCTGT